TTTATAACAAAGTGCGTAAACAATGAAGTTCCAAAGCATGAGAATGGTCACAAAGAAAATACATGTCAAATACAAGATAACTGTAAAACAGAAAGTCCTGTACCTTGAACTACCTTAATAACAATGTTATAAGCAATTCTCTGAAGGAAATAAAAATGCATTTTCTGTATGTGTGTTGCATGCATGTGTTGAACATGATTATTTGCATATTCCTACAAGCAAGGGGTGACAACATAAAGTCAGGTAGCTTGTGTCATATTACAAGGTTGATTTATACAGTTATATATACTAGCCACATAAAGAAACTGTGCATTGTCAAAATATTATCCCAGTTGATAAGTACGATAACAATGTCAAAGGTACATATAAACTTTAATGGAGGGATCATGACGTTGCAGAAAAGGAATTGCCACAGGTCGAAGAATCTGATCCCTGTAGCCCACACCAGTTAAGTTGCCCTGAACAATCACCAAAGGAATTCTTTGGTGTGCTGTTATTCCACCCCAAATCATCACGGAACCACTACCAAAGCGATTCCTCTCCCAAGACACAGGCCTGTGCATAACGTTCTCCTACGCGTCAATAGGCAGGTTGACGTCCATCACTATGGGAAATGTTAAACCTGGACTCATCTGTAAAAACAACATTTCTCCACCAAAACAAGGGTCTGCGGACATGATTTCGGCACCACCTTCGGTGAGCTTGTCGATGACGTTGTGTCAGGATAGGCCGTATGGCGGGACGTCATGGTCTGATCCTGTGATGACATAAACGTTGTCGAACTGTGTTGGGGTGGATACGGCGAAGTCCTGGGAAGGTTCGGGCAGTCATCACTGCAGTCTGAAACCTGTAGCGCGGATGGGTCACCCTTATCCATCTGTCCTGTCTTGGCGTTACATGTGGACGTCCAGAATGTGGACGTCCAGAACGTGGCCGATTGATGACGTCATTTGTGTTCTGGTAGCATCTCACCAGTGCAGAAATGGTGTTCCGGTGGCTGTGGAAATGTGCAGCCACTTGTCGTTGAGACATTCCCCCCCACGGACCATCCCAATGGCCTCATGACGTTGTGCAGACGTGAGCCTTGGCATGCTATGCGTTTCAATAGCCGTTTAATTGACAGTATTGTGTGGCATTCATTTGCTCTGTTTCTCTTTCCCGGAATGCACGTGCAACAACGTATTGCACGTCTCAAGGATGAACCCACTGACGTCACAGAACATGCACGTGGATACATGTCACTAATCTCTGAGTTTAAATCCTTATGTGTCTACACAGGTTTGATAAATTTAGATTTCCACAAAATGATAACAAAGTGGAGAACTGGATTAACAAAGGCCAGGTGTGGAAGGCGATGGTGGACGCAGGGCCAAGCGAGAGCGATTAGTGCTCTCCATTGGACCCTGAACAGACGAGACAGGTAGCGGTGATGTTGTAAATGCTATTTTGACCACCCGAAGGTTGACGACTGCCATCACTTACCAAACATATTATTCACATGAAGTGACAAATACACGCGTAACAGAGAAAAAAACATTGACCTGAATATGGCAAACATACTGTACAAACGACCTTCACTGTTTCTTTGCCCTAATACAGATCAAGTCTGACCTTCTCAATCTCAGCCATGCGGTAAGTTTCAATTACATTCTGTGAACGCTTACGAAGTTGACATTTAAACTGCCTGCCTATGATAATATTGACCCTTGACATTAGTGTTCAACAAGACAAAAACATTTCCCAAGGATACAGTGGTGAGATCCAAGGCATGAGATCACAGGGCTGGCTAAAATGATCCATAATCGGAAATGTCATCGATAGGAACTTATTTTTAATGATTATCGACATGAAAACTGTGCTATCGATAATGTCATACAATAACTCTTCTGATAGAATTTATTTCGTAATTTTTTCACACAATATACAAATTTAGGACTTTATTCATGGTCTGCTTTAAACAATATTCAGGATGCTGTTTTGTAAATAACCCATGCAAAAAACATGTCACAACAATTTTACTCAAATTTATGTTTCTGATATCTATTGATAGTCGATTTGAAGTACCGATTATTGATCTCTATGAGCTATATCGATAGCCAGCCCTATGAGATCCCAGAAAAAATTCTATCAATTTTCAAACAAAGCATGAAAACATCAAACATTTACTGTTGGAATAGCCATGCCCATAAAACACGAAAATTCCTAAACTGATAAACAAAACCAAGACTATCAAAAACATTGTGTTTTTTTCTGGTTAAACAATCAATATGTCCGATTGGAAATATGATCGAGAAATTTGGATAATTTCAAATATATTGAAAATTTTAACAATAAACAGGATATTAATAATACTTATCCTGTTTCAAGCTATGCACTTTGTCTTCTTCTTTCTTTAGTGAAGTTGAAACAACCTGAAACAAAGATTCCAGCCTCTCTGAACCGCTCACACACCCCTCCTACAATTGCTGAAATTGGGCATCACTGGAGCTCATATGCAGAGCACGTGACCTGATATCACTGGAAGCTCATGCAGAGCATTTGACCGTCCCAAGTTGACCATGTGAAGACCAGTTGGAATCATTCTCTTGAGTCTGAATCCTCCCATAATCTGCATACCCTCCATCGTGGGAAATAGAATAAGTATTATAGATATACAATTTATAGTTCAAATCTTTAAATTTTAAACTTATCCTAACTCATGTTATGCACATGGCTAATAGTTGGACAATGGACCACAGCCATGAGATGACATGTTCACAAGAAGACTGGCACTGACTTCCTAGTCCTTGAACATCGGTGTTAGGCTCAACCTGAGTAACACGATTTCGCCTTGTATTGCTTGTTGAAGGAAAAATAATGGTGACAGGAATTCATCACAGAACCCCAAAACCTTTTGGTCCTACATCCAAGACAACAAGTTGTTGGAAACTGTTTCAGGTGTAGGTGGAATTGTTCAGTTAGTACTCTGTTTCACATTCTGCTCCTATGCATATGACCCTCACCTGTCCCTTCTGGTCACTGTTAGTCAAGGAGCATGGGAGAAGCCGTGCCACTAATATGACTGCTAATGAAAATAGAGGATAGTGAGTATGAACTAATAAGTTTGTACAAGGCTGACCTCTGAAGCAATGATGAAGCTACCAAAGATGGATGTTCTTCAATACCTCAATCAAACAATGACTGAGGCAGATTGCTTGTGCAAAAATAAGAACAAGTCAATTCAGGATTTACATTGTCTATTCTGGGATTACAATGTAGCATTAGATCCTAGAAGTCATTGGGGAGACACTAGTGTCTGCATTGATGGGTCATGGAGAGTTGCTGTATCAGTACCAAAGGTCCAAACTTATCAAGTTCATGAATATCAGATAATAGATAATAGGAAACAAAGACAGTCTCAGAGCCCAAACACCCCTCCATAATTGATGTCAACAAACAGTTGCTGTGTAAAGCTATCATGAGTCTGCCACTGCTGTTTCATCAATGTTGGTTGCAACCAGAGACACTAGATCAGCAAAGGTGTAAGCATGAAGGATGGCCGATGTCATCCAAAAATCTAAGTTGGTTAGAGATAATGCCACTGTAGAGGCTGTAGACAACAGGATAAACAAATGCTTAAAACAACCTATGATGGTACTGCATAGCAGGAATGTAGATCTTCAATGTCATGATGGGGCAGGAGTGATAGGTCTTCAGCATCATTGGGCCTGAGAATCATGGAGAACAGTGGATTAGTAGAAAGCTTGTGTGGCTGTCCCAGCAAATGGTTCTTTGCAGTGAAAGAAGACCATGAAAGATCTTGCCATGTTTCTTCCTCTCAAACTGTACACAGTTTACATCCATTACATGGATATACAAGCAACAGTAGCAAAACCTACCAGGAAGACTGTCATGAGGGTGATTCGCTTGAAGTCCTTGTCCTCAAAAGGTTCATAGTTGCCATAGTTCTGAGGTGACTCAGGATCACGGACAGGTCCCATGCTCACGGATGATCCATCTCAGGGTTGGTTATTGGAAGGCAGAAAGACTTGAAGATATCTGGATGGTGAGCAGATAGTTCAAATTCCCACCCTGGGCTCCCTGAATGCGTGTAGCTATGACATTGATGTGAATAGAGCTGATCACTTGGAAGAATTAAGTCTGAGAGTCTGTGGGTTGACATTAGAAGACCCAGATCTCTTGCAAAGTTCTTGAACAAATGGAGCAAAGGGATGAATAAGTATGGCTGACTCCTCCCTTCTTCGGTGAAGGAGACTGTCCTGGAAGTGTTGGAGGACAACATGGTTTCTGGAACTCTGCTGCGAAAGGAAGCATGGAGGCCTGGGTTGAGCTGGTCTTCTTGTACCTGCAGCTCCTGAATTTTCAATATTTCCATGAAACTGGTCATGGATATGGTCATGGACTCTCATGGTGACAACTTCCACAGCGGAGAGAATCAAGTTGATAGCTGGTAACATTCAGCAGTATTCAGGTGGACCAACTCTTTGCTTTCTTCCTACCAGAAATAGCATATTGTTGTGCTCAGGACACATAGTCTGGTTGTTGGTGATGTAAGCAAAGCAGCAAACCTGTGTGGACATGGGCATCTCCTTGGCAATATTTTAGAGGAGACATGCCATCACAGCGATCCTTTATAATATATACAGGACGTCTGCACACCAGTGTCATAAGAAAGAAAATGATTCCAGCTGGCAGGCACATGATCACCTTGGTCAGGTCGCATGTTCAGCATGAACTTATAGTGATGTCCTAAATCAGCAATTGGAACAGGGTTGTGTTGAGTGAACAGTTAAGAGAGGCTGGAAACTTTCAGGTCATTTCCACTCCACTGTCAAAAAGTAGGAGAGAAATTTTAAAAATAACTTTTCTACTTATCAGAAATCAAAAAGTGATATATATCTAACAAGGAAATGATTAACACAATGAAATCATTATCTTATGTATTTGGAATCTGTAATTCATATGGTTTAAGAATGTAAACTATCATTAAAACAAATTACCTCCATCATCACTGTGAGGGATAAACTTGGTAAGGTTCACTTTTGCTACTGGCACCTGTAACAAAGAGTCAAAAGGTTTAATCATGAATCACTGTGAATATTGTCTTTGACTGTTGTTATGCCATTGTTAGTGATTTTGTGTTTTATGAAAAGTAGGTATTTCAGCACAAAAACCTGTTTTACAAGCATTTATATGATCGGTTACAAATTTACAAAGGTAAAATTATGAAATCACATTGTAATAATCTTACCATAAACATCAAAATGTACAACAGCAAGCACCACAAAAAGATAATACACCCAGAAGAAAACAAAAGATAATAAAACACAAGATCAAATGATTACAAATCACAAATATATAAGGCACAAATATATATACACCGTGCATTACCGTATATTACCGTCTATAAGCCGAATTTTGAGGACCCCCCAAAAAAGCAGTCTGTAGAAGGGGATCAGCTTATCTATGGGTTATGCTTTCGTCAATCTTTTTTCCAGGGGTAAGAAAACAACATCGTATCACTTCGCATGAACCAACAACAGAAGACGACTTTGTCAGTAAAGATGTCAAATTTGCAATTAAACATCACTAGACAAGATTATTTACCTTTTCTGTTCTAAGTTGTTTTTGCTGGGCATTGTATTATTTGCAGGGATTAAGATTACCGTGTGTATTTGAGCCGGAAATAGCAATCAGCTGTGCACACGTTTCTCAGCGATCAAGTTCAAACATGCACAATAATATAACAGGATGAATTCTGATGAAGTCATCAGTAAAACATAATACAGAATACTATTATTTAACCCAAAGAAATATATCATAGCATTTTTTAATTTTAAATACAGTTTTTGCTCTATAAATTAATTAAGGATAAGATTACCGTGTGTTTTAGAGCCGGAAATAACAATCAGCTGTGCACACGTTTCCCGGCGATCAAGTTCAAACATGCACAATAATATAATGGGATGAATTCTGATGAAGTCATCAGTAAAATATAATACAGAACACTATTATTTAACCCAAAGAAATATATCCTAGCATTGCGTAATTTTAATTACAGTTTTTGTTCTCCAAATGTAAAATATATACAGTAACGAGCAGACAAAATGTGATTTTTCACAGACGTAGTTTTAAAATTTATTTACTGATAAAATCAGTTATATTTTTCATACATCCAGTCTGGATACTGAAGTTTACATTTATGCAAGTCAATAGTCTGTTAGTCCACCGTTTCTCTCAATGCACTGCTGAATACGGTGTCCCATGCTGTCAATCAAATTGTCTATGTAGTCCTGGGGTAGGCCCACCCATATTTGACTGATGAGATTAGAGGCAAGCTACTGGTCGCTAGAAACAATGCATTTCGGCTTTTTTGATAGTAGGATCGAGTCTACAGAATAAACTTTTTTGTCGCATTTTTTCTGCTCATTATTATGTAATCAACACTAAGGATATACGGACCCTCATGAATGTGGTAAGCGGAAGTTGTACGCACATGGAAGGGGGTAAAATAAGCAAGCCAGTTTGTTGACATGTGATCGTCCAGCAACAATAAGTATGATATTTAGTGAAACAAAATATATTATCCATTTTCTGTCAACTACAATTTGATTGTGAATTCTTTGAATAATGTGGACCAAAGTTATAATTATTGGTAACTGCCAGTTGTCTGTGGTCTGTGTTTGCCAGGATTAGGACCCCATCGCGGGGGATTGGCTTATGCACGAAACATACCATTTTGACACTGATTTTAAGGGTCAAGTTTGGGGGTCGGCTTATTTATGGGGTCGGCTTATAGACAGTAATATACAGTAATTAAGCACCACTCTATTTTAAAAATAAGATGTGATGCTACAGGAAAGTTTGGGTATAGCCATTAATTTAATCAACCTGTAGTTAAAGAAGCTTTATCCACTGACAGTTTTACAAATACCATAACCTTTTCTAAAAAGAATATGTTGATGAAAATGTGTTGGACTGAATTTTTACCCAAAATAACTATACCTCTCCTGCTCAAACTACACAATTAAATTAAGGTTTTGACTAAAAAGAACAATTCTGTTATAAACCAAGATGACATTTACAAATCAAGTAAGCTTTAATTATGCATAATCAGGAAGAACCCGAATGTAAAAGATTCAGACCTTTTTCCAACAATTCAGATTGCTAATTGACAAAAACTGAAAAAAGGCCACATTAATAAGATTATGGAATAATTTTTTATGATTTTGAGTTTATTGTAATGAATATACACTTCTCCTTGCCGGATACTGATAATTACAGCTAAAATCTGTTTGTTTTGTTTGTAAAGCAACTTTTACTGCATTTTAAAATTTTCCTTTTTTTTATTTTGACTGTAACTTTTCCTCAATCTTACTTTACAAACTTTCATTCGTTCACAATAAATAACGAATTTATAGGCCATGCAACAATCAATTATTACTTTCACTTTTCAAAATAAGATAACTTGTTTTAGGACAGAAAAACACTTGTTTTAAATATAGGCAATTATCCTAATTAAAGTACATGCATATGGTAATTTCAATGATGTTTTTGAAACGTTAAATGCTTGCTCTATCAAATAAAAAAGGTTATTTTTTGGAAAGAGTTTAGAATTTAATTTCAGACAAAATTAATTGGTAAAAATACAGGGTGGTGCTTATTTTATGCACAGATGTATACTTCTATGTATCAGATTTTTCAGTATTACATCCATGGAGATCCATCTGGATGGTGCAATGAAAAAATTGAAAATTTTAACAATAAATTGTATATTTATAATACTTATCCTATCTCACGTATTGTATTCGCCCTCTCATGATTCGACAGCTGAGTGGAAATGAACTGCAAACAGAGTTTTCGGCCTCTCTTGTACCATTCGCCTAACACTCCCCACTGCTCCCATTCCTGGACAGCCTCAGCCTCTGTGAAGCATGCAGCATGCCCTCTGGTTGATATGTGATGATTAACTACATAACTCCTTATTTATGGCGACTTGTCCACAACCTCTTGGCTTACACAGCACAGCAGGAGTTCCCGAGTAATGTGGTTTTGAGCACTAACTTTTGTTCAAGAAAAAAGGATTGAGCTCGGCAAGTGAATCACCTCGCCTCAATTTTCAGAAAGCCCCAGCAAATTAAAGTCTTGCAACTCTAATCTGGCCATCCCCTGCTTCAGAACGGTCTCCCGCTATCACACATAAACATGAAAGGCAAAACGGCCTGGTAGCTCAACTTTTTTAATGTTCAGTTTTGAACAGCCTTAATTAACTCTGCTCCAGTCAATCATGTGCCAAGAACTTAGAAGCGATACGCTTCAAAAGAGTTTGGTATCCACTCTTGACTGACTGGAGAGACAAACTCCTCTCACTTAAAGGCTCGTAGTCACACGAGACGAGATGCTGAAGCACGATGGTGAGATCCCAAGCAGGAGACCGAAACTTCCTGGATTGATCAGCCAGTTTATAGGAGCCCATTAGAGACCGGAGTTCAGGCACAGTCGATATCCTGACACCTCTTGCCGTTGCTATGACAGTGTTGATAGCTGTAGACAAAGTAGGTCCTTTCAATTCTTAGACATTCGTAAATGTTGTAAATACTCGGCAACCATCTGTGCAGAAGCTGTGGTAGAGGACTGGATACCCTACATTCTGCAATAATTCTCAAAGTTCTCTTACATTGTCTTCATAGAGCGAGTATGTGTAGATGAACAATGAGCTTCGGTAATTGTCATAACCCTCTTGAAGTATCCCTTAGCAATCAAGGACCTTTGTAAATGCGCCAAACGTGTAGACGTAACATCTGCAGGGACCCGTGAAGACGATCTGAGTGTGGATGGACCCACTCGTCGTCTTGATTGGGTAGAGCCGCTAGATCTGGAACGGCAAACTTTAGAAGATCGACGAGCCAACTAGTAAGGCGCGACCAAAAGCAAAGTTATCTTCCTTGTGGACTGTTACTTCTGCAATACTCTAGGTAGTAGAGCCGGTTTCGTAAGTGTTCAGATTCTCCAAAGAGATTGCTGGAGCGTCTTGGACCCACGCCATAGTGTCTGGGATCGGGGGGGAGACAAACTTGGGTAGCTGGTTGAACCTGGTTGCAAACAGATATACCTGAGGGTAGGTGATTGGGAGACAAATGGATTGGAAGCTGCATGGATGTAGCTTCCACTTGGATGGGAATGATCGGTCTGATCATGACAGGGCATCGGCAATGACGTTTTTCACCCTTGGTATGTGTCTGGCTTTCGCTGATATGTCCAGAGAGTCTATCAACCGAAAATAAAATCGCCCAACTGAGAAGGTTTGACAAACCTGTTGAACCCAGAGAATTGATGCACCACACTACCGTCGAGTTGTCTGACTGTATGAGAAGACTGGTTGATTGAAGGTCCTGTCCCCAGTTAGATGGCTAGAATGACTGCCTTGAACTCCAGTTCGTTTATGTGCAGGGACTGTTCATCTGATGACCACAGCCCTGCCACCTGAAGATTGCAAAGATGAGCTCCCCAAGTAATGCGTCTACAAACAAGTGATGAGTGGGGTTAAACGGCGTCAAACTAACTCCCGCGCAAACGGTCCATTTGTCGAGCCACCACTGAAGATACGGATGGAGCACCAAAGGTAGACAGATCGGTGCATGGGGATCGTTGACCTTCAGAAACAGCCATAGAAACCTCTGAATCAGGTGTAGTTGCAGTTGACCTCTGAACGTAAGGGCTTGAACGTCAGCAAGCCTAGTAGTTCCTGACACTGTCATAAAGACCTCTCTTCCGACAGAGCTAGAGGTACTGCACGTTGTATCTTGACCCGCCTGTCTTGGGGAACAAACTTCTTCCCCAGATGTGTGTCGAACACAGCCCTGAATAAACTGAAGTCACTGTTAAATTGAGGTGATGCATCTAAGAATAGGTGATGAGTGGGGTTGAGAAGAGACTGACGAATGTAGAAGGATCTGGATATGGGGACCGTCGAACCTCAAGAATGAATGTAGTACGGCACTTCCCATAAAAGTCGTCGATTCGTCGAGCGACCACTGAAAGTACTGATGGATAGACAAAGGTAGTAGCATCTGTGCATGGGGAACAATTATTGCACTAAAGCGTGATTACTTTCTCGCTGTCTTGCTATAATGCAGCCTGGCTTGTGCTTCCCTGCTCTCTTTCCTATTTCGCAGAAAGCAGTAGTCCCCTGTTGATGTTATGAATCTGGTGCACACGCACGCACGCACGCACGCTACGCACACACGCACGCACGCACACGCACTCACGCACGCACACACACACACACACACACACACACACCCCATGTGATAATGCAGTGAAACTGTATAGTAGCCAGCGTGGTCTCTACTGAGTTCAGAAGTACTACAGTGTACCAGTCTACTCCCTGTATGACGTCACCATTATTAGATTGCCCTCCAGGATATTTGGAGCAAGAGATGGTTGACTGAGTACGCAGATGCTGTGTGATGTGTTACGCGATGTGGGTTAATAGCCACGAACCATAGAAAATGCCAAACGGGAGAACCCTGCATTAGTAGTGGTTTGTAGAGCTGGAATCTACAAACCTGATCGCTCGTCAACTGAGGAGATCCAATGATCGGTAATTTGTAGCCTAAGCTGAGTGTAAATACGACAAAGGAGTCTCCCAAAAGGGTCCAGTTGCGAGCATAATATTATGTACCAATTTTCCCGCCAACCAGGTAATCTTCGATTGGGAAGACTGTGGGGGGGAAGATCCCAGTCTCGCGAACGTCTCTGACAGTCATAAATCATTAGCGTTCACAAAATGCGAGTAAAAAAGTCAATAGGTTCTTTCACCCTCTTCAGGTTCCTAACGGCCATCTGAGTTATGCAGGGACGATGAAGTAGTGTAATTGTGGAACAGTCTCCCTGTTTCATGACGAAAATGGATAGCAGAATGTCTGGTGGACAGTCTTGTTTTAGACAATTGCAGATTCTTTGCTATCCATGCTAACATGTGCGTCCTATCTACAAATTTGATG